GCATCAAAGATTGCAAATGGCACTGATTACCTGCTTCTCACTTCTTGCTTTCTTATGTGTGATAATCATCCTGAGGCAAACCAGGAAAAGATTCCTGACCCATTTTTCATATTCTGTAGAATAGTATTGGTGTCAGGGTCCTGAGGGGATTGGTAGGCCTTAATGACCTAGAGTATTAGTGTCATGGAAAGGGGGGTAAGTGTTTGTACATTTGTAAATCAAAAAAAGGCCTCCACTACTTCAACATGTTAAAGGTAAATTTTCAGAATTACGTGCATCATGAGAACATCTTATTATGCTTTTTCATTTGTTAGGTCTCTCAAATGAGTTGGTTACGACTTGTATGGACAAAAGAAGGATTGAGGTTGTTTAGATTTGGTAGATGGAAAACTATTTGAGACTGTGATATGCAGTGACATAACAGAGGGAAATTGGTTCATATATTTAAAGTAAGTTTCCAACTTCATGCTTAGATCCAAAAAGGCACTGAAGCTTGGTGGTGATTAGTATAGACCTCTGTTTTCATAGTAATGTTCATGGTATTGAATGTTAGCTATATCACATGATACATGGACATGAAATAATCTTTGGATAAAATTTGGACATCAAACATTTTAGGAGGAAGAACTAAAATTCAGGTATTCCTTTTTCTTTTTTCCTTTTTTTTTTTTTTTTTTTTTTTAATTCTGGGGGCTACTGTAATAAAAATAGAGTTCTCTTTCTTTCCTAGCTTCGTTTCTTTGAAGTATTCTTATGTCTGCAAAGTTCAGTGGCCGTAAAAGAAAGAGGTTGGGCATTTGACCACTGTCATTTAGCTTGCTGGATAATGTTTTCTCATATGGTGAGAACGATGTGGTCAAAGAGAAAATTCCTCTGGACTCTTTTACATTTTAAGTTAATTCTGTGACTTTCTATCATATGTGGATGAACTATCACGTGTACTTACATAGCTTCTATCCTGGAGCAGTAAGGTTTGTAAAGGATGCTCAGTGTGCTCAGATAAGAGCAGTGGCTTTTTTAGAAGCTGAAATCTGATCTGGAAGTATCATAGCTTCACTATGTTATGGCATGGCAAGAACTGAAGATACAGTGCAGGCACATCAAGTACTGCTGCTTTGATCCTGGAGGACTGATATGATCTGTTTTTCTTCCATTTAACTATATCTCAGTTACCCATTTCCCAAATAATGAATAGCTGACTGTACTGTACATGGGGAATGGGGTGAAGAATTTACATCACCTTATTCTGGGGCCCTTTTTAGTTTTCCTACCATCTTGACTTACCAATGCCCTTGGTGCCTGGGCTGCTTACTGTGCAGGGGAGCTGTAGGCACTTAGTGCCTTTGAGAACTTCACTGCTTTGCAAAATGTTGAAGTTGGCTACTGACCCCAAAAGCTTTTGGTGTGGGAAAATGTTGAGAGAGAAAAAGAGAACAGATGGAAACTGATAGACATCCCACTGCTGTCTCATTTCCTTGGGAAGCCAGGCTAAAAATAAGTTGAAAACTTGAGGACTGGTACGTCGTTGAGTGCCCAATCCCCTTGGCAGTCATTCTCACTCATCCAAGAAACCCTTGGGTGAACTCAAAGATCTACACTTCTGTGAACTGGAACTAAAAGAATAATCTACTGTTTCAGCCAAAGGTGAATATCTTTGTATCACATGTATACATTGTGTAGAATACAGAGAAATACATTTGAGCCAAATGCCAAAGGCATTGATGTAAGAGTATGCTGGAAGCAAGAGTTAGTGAATGATTTCTAGTGAAGTGTTTTGCTTTTCACTGACATTATATTATGTGCAATATGATAACCTTCTTGGTGGTCTGTTAGCTTCAGTCTTCCTTATTTTGACTGCCCACTGTGGGCCAGCTCACTGACCTCAGACTGCTGTGCTTGGAAGGAAGGTATTGCTCAGAAATTGGGCCTGTGAAGGAGGCAAATCAGTTGTGTAGTCTAGAAAGCATATACTCAATTAATGTTTGAGTACTGGTAATCTGAGTGGCATGATATGATCTTCTGAAAGTATTTGGACATAATGATGACACCTGTCATCTTTTAGTTTGATTTTATTCCTTATTCTTTATTCTTAACTTTCTTGATGTGAGTAAAACAGGAGTACCCATACTTTGTGTGGAACTGCCAGGGTGGAACGAGCTGTAGTGTATTTTACCATATAAAACATATTTTTTAGTATTTTACTATGCATTCTGATAGGGAAATTGTGCAGGCATTTCCAAGACTATCAAATGTGTGTGCAAAAAAGCTTGAAAATGCCTCCTCTGCAATCTAAATGACTACTCACATCACATAATCATTTATTAGGCTTGAGAATTGTTTCCGTAATATTACTGTAAATAACTCAACCCTGAATTCTGTAACTAAAAATGCTTTGATACCATTATATTTTAACTGGCTTTAGAAAACCAGCAAGGTTGAACTGAACAAAATTACCTTTTGGTATGAACTGCAGTAATATTTTTCTCCAGACCTGAGATGAAAGTAGCTGTAAATATGGCTTTGAAATTATTCTCCCATCTAGAAGTTAAAATTAGAACTTTAAACTCACTCTAGTTCAGTTGCTGTTATGGGAATTGGGAAAGGAATTAATTGAAGTGCTATGACCTGAGTTAGGCAAGGTGTTATATTTAGATGGTCAGACAAGCTTCTTTTAGCCTTAAAACCTAGAGATCTCAGAAAGTTATATGCAACTTCTATACAGTGAAAATAAATACCCGTGTTTGTATTTTTCTAGTATTTACAAATTAGATGAGATAATTAGAAATTGAAAGAAAATGTGTGGCATTCCAGAGAGAATAATTATTTTTCAGTGGTTTGCCTAAGGGCTTTTGATACCAAAATAGTAACAAGATTCAAACTGCAAAGAAGGTTGATTTAATATTTCTTTAGGGAGCTGTCCTGAAGAATATGTAACAATCTGCTTCAGAAAGGAAATGTGAACCCAAAGACATTTTCTAAATACCACATTCCAAGCATTCACATATAATTGCATGACTGCCAGTGACAATTGCATTCAATTGTTAAAGAAAAATTCTGGCTGCATCTTTGAACAGATGGGTAAAAATGGGCTATGTATTGAGGCCAGAATAAATTGGCTTGCTTTGAAGAGGTCATCAGATTACAATAATCTTCACTAGCCAAAACAGACCATTAGGCATTTGGAACTATACCCAATACATGTGGATTTTTTTTTTTTTTTTTGTTAATCTGATCCTTTAGAATATTCAGCTACCTTGTAGAGGCTGTACTCAAGCCGATGACATCTCTGTAGGACATGAGATTTTCCTGTTTGAAGGTAGGGTTTAGGGATCATAGAAAACTAATGGCAAAAGGAATGCAGCATTTTAAAAAATGAAATCTGAAAATGAAGAATAAAGAATGGAAACCTTCCACTTGATTTTGTGTGGAATTTGTAGAGTTAGTCATGCTTTTACACTTCCATATGCAAAATGTAATAAATGCTTAGCAGCTGTTCTGAAAGAAAACTCACTTGAAGTTCTGTTTCATGAAACTCTTATTTTTTCCTGTATATTAAAAATATTTTGTTTTACTAGTTTTTTTTCTCTTGACTAAACGTTGTGCCATCTACAGTCTATAATGCAAGAACTGCATATTTGAAGCTCCTTAGAGGTTTAGGCTGTAAATGGATTTTGCAATTTGAAGTGGAAAATCTAAGAGAAAACATTCTATGTCATAGGCTGCATTTATTTAGTGTTGTTCTTTTTAAAATTAATGACATTTGTTTTAAGAAAAACTCATCAATTTTTGCTGAAATCTGCTTAAATTCTCTCTATGTTTTCTAAAGAAAAAGAGAATCCTAGAATGGTTCTGTGCCTGAACATTCCATTCTGGTACTACAGTCTTAGACCCTTTGGAGTATACCTACATGGAGGATAGTGAAGTCAAGGTTTGACAGTCTGTGGAAGGATCTCTGGTGGTTTATTTTGCATAAATTCTGCATACAGTATACACACTATACCAAACCCACATTTTTGTGTCAGTGCATATTTATTCTCCCCAAACAAAGCAATTAATTGATGCCACACATGGAAGGGCTGTGGCCAAGAGTTTAATCAGTGTGCTGGAAAAAGGCAATTCAAGCACAAGTGAAGTACAGGAGCAGAGGCTGTGACTTTGACATGAACTCTGACTTTATCCCATATGTCATGGGCTGTGTATGTGCCCCATTTATTTTTCCTGTTGCACTTTTATTTTTCAGATAAATCTGTTAGGAATACGTGTGATAGTGATGTTGTTATGATCCAGTGTGTTTTAATAGCTACCAACCACAATTCTTTTCATTCCATGCAATTACAGGTGCTACCCAGAGATTAATGAATCTTTCTGTTCCTTGTCCAGCATTCCTATTTCCATGTTTAGTTCATCTCTACCTGCTGTATCAGTTTATAGAGAGATCAGATCAGATCAGACATTTAATACTTGCATTGCAAATACACAAAGAAATGCTGCCAAGTGGTATAAGTATATTCTTATAAACATCATAAAAAACAGAGTCAAAGGGATTCTCCATCTTTTATCAGTGTAATGAATCTGGGTGCTTTTTAGCTCTGAAAGGAACTTTTATGAATACATTCAAATATATTTTTCCACAAAATTTGATTTTAATGTTCCTTTTCATTAAAGAAATATATTTTTTAATTTTTCAAAAAGTAGCAGGCAAAAGTATTTAATTTTGAAACCTAAAATATATAGGTTTGAGCTCTGGGAGTAGATGTTTCACCATCCTGCCTTCCTTTTTTTCATCAATATAATGAGGTTTGTCTCCAAACTGTATTTTAATTTGTATTTACATTCTTTGCATTCAGAGAGCTGTGTATTAAATATGAGCAATTTTGTTCTTAGTTGACAGCTTATTTCAAATAATTTTTTTTTGTTTGTCTAGCTGGAGAGCATGAACAGTATCAGCCTATTTTGTCATATAACAAGAATATTCTCTTGTTTTTTGTTGTTTTTTTAAGGTTTTTTGAATGATTCAGTTACCAAGTGCATTGTGGCTCTACGCTTGACTGTGGTGGTGAAAGTGAGTACCTGCATGCCTGTGGGAAGCCATTCAGACAATTTCCCATGTTCAGGAAAAGGGAAATGCATCACCAAGCCAGATGAGGTAAGGTCAACTTATCAAGACATTCCTGTAATGTGGCAATTCCATGACAATTTAAACACAGGGCAAATTGTCCTTGGTGTTTATAGATTGCAGCTGTGTAACAGGCTTCAAAAGCTCACAGGTCTTACTAAATAACAACAATATTTATCTGCTATATTTGAAAATCAAGCCCTTGAAGTAAAAAAATAACAGAAACGAGATGCAAAGATTCACACTCTGCCCTGGCAATAAAAACAATTGTTCAAATCAGGTATAAGGGAATTTATACTGCATCTTACAGTCTGTAGAAGGAAGTTTCTCTAAATGAAGACCATGATGTGGGCATTTGTGATCTCCAATCTCCAGACCAGTGTGATCGTATTTGTTAAGTTCTCAACCTTGTCTAAGGTTTTAGGTCAACTTTAATCTAATCCTTCTCTCTCCACGTCTTAATAATTGCTTACTGAGAATAGACTGACCAGTGCAATGGAATTGCTTGACCATAATGATGAGAAGAAGCAGAGTGGAGTAATTTGGTAGTGGTTGCAAGGTTTCCTGCACAGCTTTGTCCTTTATGTAATACTGCATTGGGGGATTACCATGGCAATTCCACTGGACACTGGGATTTTGTGTGATCTAGCAACGTAAGAAAATAAGAATCAAATCTGTCAAATTTGCAATCTGTATTCTGCTTTTACCAAACCAGACTGGGCTTTTGTGATTTAGATACTGTTACTTTCTATACATGTTATTTTTTATTTCATGGATTAAAAATCATTTACAGCACAAATATGCACGGTTAATCTTTAGTTTTATTAATATTCATTTGGGAGATAAAAGCAGTAGTAACTGTTGAGTAAATATTAACAGCTGTGAGCCTGCTGTGAACATAAAAATTTTGGCATATTGAGTGAATTCACGTTTAGTTCATCTGCTACCATTTTCTGATTTAGATTCTCAATAAGCATGTTTGATAGAAAATGGTGTTTTGAATTGTAACAACAATAATTAAATTGCCACAGTATCTATACATACAGGGCAATACTAACATCTGGAATAATTATGTTTTATTTCTCAAAAATGAATTTTGTAAAACGCTTGAGGTAATGTGAGAACATAATTATTGAAAGATGAATTTAAAAATAAATGCTACTTTACTATACCAGCTGGCTGGTATCCAAATAAATTATTCATTCAGATACAGTGTTCAATTTCATAGTCCAGTTTATTTTTTGTGCTTTACTGTATTTTATAAATTCAGTATTTTGAATTTGACTTACATAAATAATGGTGTTCCTCAGGGGTCTGTGCTGGGGCCAGTTCTGTTCAATACTTTTATTGATGACATGGATGAGGGTATTGAGTCTTTCATTAGTAAATTTGCAGATGACACTAAGCTGGGAGCATGTGTCGATCTGCTGGAAGGGAGGAGGGCTCTGCAGAGGGACTTGGAATGGCTGGATGGATGGGTGGAGCCCAATGGGATGAAGTTGAATAAATCCAAGTGCCGAGTCCTGCATTGTGGCCACAATAACCCCCTGCAGTGCTACAGGCTGGGCTGGTGTGGCTGGACAGTGCCCAGGCAGGAAGGGACCCGGGGGTACTGACTGACAGCTGACTGAACAGGAGCCAGCTGTGTGCCCTGGTGGCCAAGAAGGCCACTGGAATCCCGGCCTGTATCAGGAACAGTGTGGCCAGCAGGAGCAGGGAGGTCATTCTTCCCCTGTACTCAGCACACACACACACACCTTGAGTGCCGGGGCCAAGTCCGGCCCCCCCAGTTAAGGAAGAACGTGAAAAGCCCCAACCCCGCCAAAGGAGGCAGCGAGGCTGGGGAGGGGAACACAAACCCTGTGAGGAATGGCTGAGGGAGCTGGGGGTGTTCAGCCTGGAGAAAAGGAGACTCAGGAGTGACCTTATCACTCCTACAGCTCTCTGAAAGGTGGCTGTAGTCTGGTAAGGGTTGGTCTCTTTCTCCAGGCACTGACAGAATGAGAGGACACAGACTTAAGCTGTGCCATGGGAAATATAGGTTGGATATGAGAAAAAAGTTTTTTACAGAAAGAATAACAAAGAACTGGAATGGTCTGCCCACAGAGGTGGTGGAGTCACCATCCCTGGATGTGTTTAAAAAAAGACTGGATGTGGCACTCGGTGCCATGGTTTAGTTGAAGTGTTGGACTTGATCTTGAAGGTCTCTTCCAACCCAGTGATTCTATGATTCTGTAATATGTTCAAGTTTTCTATGCATAACAGCATATCAAAATATTGTCTTTTCCCATTTTTTGTCAATTTGAGAGTTAAATCTTTTGATAGATTGCCTCATTTAGTATATTTTCATCTTGTTTGTCCAAGTTTATGACTCTAATTTCTTTCTCTTGTTGCATGTCATATTACAAAATAAAAATAAATTGCTTCCTATATCTATGCAGAAGAATTAATGCTTTTCTGTGTTAAGGGAAAGGCATATATGGCCTCTAATAATTATCCACATCTTATTAATTTTTTAAGATGTAGTAAATAAAGTAAAATTTTCTTTATAAAAAACGAGACAGATTGGCTTCACAGCAAGAAAGAGAAGCAATTATTTAACTCAAAAAAGGATAAGTATCTGTATGTTCCTGCCTGTAATCTTGACATTAGAAGCTTTATATATTAAATCCAGAACAGTGAATGATGAGAGAGCCCCGCGTTGTGCACATGCAGGCTGTTGTTTTCCCTGGCAAGTGAATAGAAAAAATTAGGATTGTTCATATCTTTCCACTCTTCTTTCTCTGAATCTAATAACAGAAAAATTTATTAAGGCAATGTTTTTGGTATAGAATGCACTAGGCTGTAGTTCACCAAAACTCTGTGGCTAAAACTGTGGGACACAAAAACTGTGTCAAATTTCACTTCTGAAGAGTAGCTATCAATTAATGGCAGTCAGAGATCAATAATTAGCAGGATTCTCAATATGTCTAAATATTAAAAAAAGAAATTAATTTAAATGTATTTATGACCACAAAAGGTATTTAGCTATCTTCAAATAAAATTTTAACTTCAGAAATGCGATTGCTTCTATTCTTGCTGCTGTAAACTCCTTCTGAGTTTTCTAGAACTTGAACAAATGAAGAACACTTCCAGTGATGCTCTCAAATGCCTCCAATCTGTGCCAGGTGCCTGCTGAGCTGGGGTAGCTTGCTAGAACATCAAATACAGTGACAAAAATGAAGTTAATTTATATCCAGGCTCCTACTCCAGGGGGGGATCAAAATGCCATGTTGTCTTTTTGTCTATACTGTATTTCTAAATCCATGATCTTTCCCTGCTCTTTCGCCTATTAGGTGCATCAGAGAACTTCAGACAGGAAACTGATTCATGCCCAGCATAAGATAAAAATAGGAGGTGCATATTTCATTAAGTCGAATGTTTTTGCCATTGTTTGACTCAAATTATGTGAGATGTGCTCTAAAATATCTTGATGATTTCCCTAATGATGGAGCAAGCAGCTGCCAAGATTACATACTCGACATGACAGCCATTGTGTCTGTTTCCCACGACACACTTCTCTTTGCAGAACACAAACTTTAATTTTCTTTAAATTTAAAATGTGCCCTTTGTGATTTGCTGTTTGTTTTTATCCATAATTCATTCTGTTTTGCACAATCTAGTCTTGCAGGATGCAAAGCAACTTCTTAGAAGAAAGCATAAAAGGCTCAATGCTGTGAGCAAGCTCAGAGCTCTGCTGGCTGTAGCTATTGCTTCCAGTGCCAAGAAGATTAATGGTTGTCTTTGGGGTTTTATGTACTTCACAGTTTTATTTCAAATCTAGTAGAATGTAAAAGAATGTAGGAACACATCTGCTTACTGGGAAATTTAAATGTAGTTAACAATCTGCAGTGATATAAGCACAGGAGGTTACTGTTATATATAGAATGAATATAACGATAAACAAAAGTGCATTCTGGTCTGACCTGGGAGTCTTGGCCAGTTTTTATTCATTCTATGTTGATCTATAACTTGACTTCTTCTCAGCTAATTGCTTTTTATAGAGTGTAGTTATGAAAAGCAAAGTTCTAATGCAAAGTTTTGTTTCCAATAATTGTTGCTTTTGAATGGAACATAAGATTCATCACTTTGAGTGAGTTTTTGTGACGTGAGGTGATGCTGAGCTCAAGCAATATCTTTGTATGAGCTTTGTACCTGTTTTGCTGCCATGCTTGCCACTTGTCCAAAGGGAAATAGGAATGTGTCAGAAATATAGCATTGGTCTTGGCATCCTCACAATATAAATACCACTCTCACATTTGTATACTCAGCTTACAGCAGGATGAGTTAACTGTTAGCAGTTCATGGAAGAGAAGTTTTGATGCTAACACAAAGGGGAGAGTTTTGTCTGGTGTGAATTTCCAATTTAAGATTTTGGAATGAACTCGGGCCATCCATTGATTGTCAGTGCCACAGTTTTGCTTGTGTAAGTGTAAGTTTCTCTCACAGATTGCTCTGTTCCATAAGTTTGGCTTTCCCATATAAAGTATGGATAGACTGACTGTATAAATATGAAATTTTATTGCTAGATTTTGAACCCATGATAATCTCCACAGAATAACTTGTCAGCATCTCAGAACTGTTACCTGTCATTAGATATTACAGACTGAAGTATTACAATGCTTTTCTTTTGCAGCTTTCAAACCCCATTTTGTTAACTACTCTTTATGGTAAATTGATCCCTGTATCAAATTCTTGGAGAGATATATTATCTGAGTCTTTTTTAACTTCCTATTTCACCATCATTTTTGAAGCAATGACTGATGGTTGCATTGTTTAAATGTATTAATACCTACATTGTAATGATGAGCTTTTAGTGCAGCCAGAGCCATGCTGCTTGTGTCTCTGTAGACAGCTCACATGAATTATCTTTAAAGATAGTTACTGTGCTGTGTGAGTTTAATAATTTGGACTCTGTTTTGCTTGCCTGCCTTTCTGTTGAACTAGAGCCTTGTTTGGAAACCTGTCGTTGATGATGTGTGAGATATTCAGAGCTGTTCCGTGAAGAGGCTGGGGTAAACTCCAGAACACGTGCAGACTGTACAATTAAGAAGGGCTTCTGGCACTCCTGATAAATAACATACTCATGGTTTTGAGTTTTGAAGATGTATGATATTTATTCTTGTATAACTCTACCAGTGTGATATTTGTAAGGAGGAGTGAAATCTGGAGTTCACTGAGTGACGTTTTCTATTTGTGTGAAGGTTGTTTTCTACTTAAGTCACAGCTGTTCATTCATATGAAGTGAAACCAAGCAAAAATAGGAGCCCCATCTCTTTGTTTCTAGTTCCACTCATGTTCTGCACTTTGCATTCCAATGTTTGTGCATGGGACAGCTGCGTTCCAGCACTGAGGATCTGGCTCTGAAACAGAGAGTGAGTGATGTTGCCATCTAGCGTTTAATAACAAAGATTCAGCTGCCTTCTAAATGCATACCAGAGAGGAGAGAGCTTTCCCTGCTTCTTTCCTTGGAGACTTCCTTGGCCTTGATCTTAGTCACCTAAAGAGTTTTTAAATCTGATTTTAATATTTTATTGCCAACAAAAATGTGCCATATCGTGCCTCCTGTAGGTACTTGAAGTCTTTAAGAGGTATAGTAGTCTTGATCTTTATTAAGCAGCAAAGTTTGGAAAAGGTAACGAATGCATTCAGAGGAAGACATATTTTAACAGAATTGAAAGGGGCTGAAGTACCATTCTGGGAGCCTGTCCTGTCAAGAGTGCATATCTGTAGTAGGATTTTGTTGCACTAAATTTGCACGTTTTTCATTCTCACAGTTCTTTCAACCTATGTCTAATTTCTGGAATGGAAGAAAAAATATATGATGATTTAGATATTCTGAATCTGATCCCAGACTCCTTGTCTAAATGACCCAACATCATTAAAAATTTGAGCTGAAGAATTGGTGCAGGTTTAGTATTTCAAGGAGTAACTTTGTTGATGTATTTGTGGCAACTACTGTTGTTATGAACAGGAAAACCAAACCATCTTTGTTCAGAAGCATATTAAATAAAAATATAATCTTTGAAAATTTATTGTGAAGTATATACACTCTTTGTCTTTAGGCAACATTTTTTTGTGAGTGTGAAGATGCATATAAGGGTTCCCTGTGTGAAGAATTTGATGCCTGTCAGAGCCAACCTTGCCAGAACAACGCAACCTGCACTGATGTAGCACAGAAACACGACAGGAACAATTTCACCTGCAGCTGCCTGCCTGGTAGGTTTTTGAATTCTTGAATAATGCAGCTTTGCTTGACATTTGGTGCATATCTTTTTGTAAAGCAGTGAACTGTGCAACTTCTGATACCAGAGCAGATAGAAAACGCAACAGCAACATAAAGGCAGTGGAAGGTTCTTCATTGGTGAAAAATGCCATTGAAAACACATGTCTGAACCTTAACTCTGTGCGGGAATTAATCATAACTAGTGGAACTTTATCTACTAAAAGCACAGGAGCAAAATTTAGTTTACATCAGCTTTTTCTTTATCAGGGTTTTTCTTTTTCAGACGTGTTCTATGACCACCAACATAAGCTTAGGTTTAGCTTTTTGTTTTTTTTAAATAATTCTTCTTGATTTTTTAAAATATCAAATGTTTTTAAAATATCAAATAATCAAATATCAAATTTTAAAAATATCAAATATCTTGTAGCAAGATTCAGAGCAGCACAATCATTTTGGCCTTTGCGCCACATTCTTTTGGATACATGTTGAATTCCAGGGTAATTTTGAACCTTCACAAACTTGGTAACAGTTCAAAGATGGAAGAATGTTGAAATGACTTAAGCACATTCAATACTGTGTTACAATTCATAAAAATAATCAGCTGACTGTGCAAACTAAAAAAGCTGTGAAGCCTATAGATGAAAGAAATCAGTGAATGCAGTCTTCTATAGTACTTCATTGCTGCTTTTTATGTGAATTTGAGACCAGTTAGAATTACAGAAAATCACTAGTTTTCCAGAGTGAAGCTGAGATCCCTCCCTCCAAGTGCTTCAACCCAGTCAAGAGGACTTGCCATATGTTCTGGCTTTCAACCTCATTTTTTTCCTTCAGTTTATGTGATTTAATAGAATAATTTTACAATACATAGCAGTTTCTTTTCCCAGGTTTTGCATTGCCGATTGCAGAGAATAATTTTATAGCTTAGCTCTCTATAGCATGTAAAAGTGCAAGGTGCACAAAAAGTCTTCTAGATGTTTTTCTGTTGTAGTGCTGTAGCAACTCTAATAATCTGTGTTGACAGCTGTTTTATGGTGGCATCATAAATTTAAACAGGTATGGGTCTTGCTGCACACAAAAAACCTACCAGTTTTGATTGCATTAAAAATAATTATTTAATAAAACCATGGGTGTTTCCCCCCTATTGTTTGATTTGGGGGCATTTTCCCCTTCTTTTTCCTTTTTCTCCCCTGTATCAGCTAAATCCTATCCATGTATGTCCTCTGTCTCACCTTGGGGTCTTTCTCTTCTATACCTGCTCATAGCAGTGTTCATCTGGTCATAGCTTCCTAGTCTTTAACACCAGCCATTCAGTTAAATATGTTCATTATGGAAGACATTCATAATTTTTTTTAGGATTCCTTTAAAAAAATAAGATATATCTGTGCGTAGCATGTAGTTTTTCTTCAGTCATGCATCCAAGGTATTTTCTTGGAGGTAATTCAAAATTAGAAAAGGGGAATGTGTAGTATTTGTTATGAAATTTAGGTATGGAGTGTAGAATAATTTAGATTGTATTTTAAATTTGTTCATTTTTTGGGAATGTGTTACAGACATCAGACATATGGAATAAAGCAACTCATGGTCAAATAGTATAATACACACAATCTGTAGCTTGTGAACTTATAGAAGCTTATTTGGAAGAGTTTGCAACTGTGCTGAGCAGTTCTTCACAGCTCCCACTTAAAATAAACACTCTTTTTGAAGCCCAGAAGTAGGAGCAAATGACAGTCATTCAGCATATGCACAAATAATTCATAGTGTTAAGTTCTGTTTAAAGCCTTGCTAACAATTATTGACTTGAGATTCAAGCTGCATTTGAAAATCATTCCAAAATGACTTTATTTTTTTGGTTTTATGAGTACCAGTGAGGACCCAATGTCTATTGCCAATTCACCAGTGATGTCAGAATATCGCAGTTGGTAAAAGACAATGGATGCAGTCTCTAGCATTCTGCTATTTTATGCTTCTCCTGTGAAGTATATGTTTTAATTAGAAATCTCATTTTATAAGAAATGAGAGACTGTCCTGGATTCTATTGCTTATATTGGTTAATTTGACTCAAGAGAAGTAATGGTACTGTTTGGATGGCTGAGCAATGCTTAGTGGTAAACCCTTGTTTTTGCTCCATCTTCTGAATATTGTGAGCTGTTTTGTAGGTTACACTGGAGAGCTGTGCCAGTCAGAGATTGATCATTGCATCCAGCAGCCATGCCAGAATGGAGGGACCTGCTCATCCCACCTCAATGGATTCAGCTGTCAGTGCCCAGAAGGTAAACAGAAAACACCTCTTTAGTACCTTTTACAAAGTGCTGTTTCTCGGGGTGTACTTTAAATTTTCAGCTATATTGATATGTAGATATGTATATTTAAATGTTTTTAAAATTATGCCTTAGCTTGTAATTGTAAGCAGAAAAGAAAACCAGAGGAGAAATCTTGCTATAATCAGCAATAGGATATGAAGTGTTGTAGGAGTTGAATGTTTTGGCATATATGTGGTGCAGAAATGTTCTTTCATTTTACAATAGAAATCAGGCCCCAGCACTGATGAGAAAGGTGAATTTCAGGAGACTCAGGGTATGATCTGAATTTTATGCTGTCCAGTAAATGTGTGAGAAAAAGATGCCTGCCTTGTAGTATTTGCACATTTCTGCACATGGGTCGGTTGACTAAAACGTGTGTAAAAGTAATAACTAAAGGAATTATTTCAATCCCCAAGGTTTTAATTAATTCTCCTTTCCATTTGGACATATTCCTTTCTTGACATGAAAGTTTCTTACTGGTAAACCTTTTAAATGTGAAACAAGGACACCCCAATGCCAAAGTGTGCTTTCATAACACTACTGACTGCAATGACAGATCCCTAAATTGCACATGAAAAAATTATCATGAGTGGAAGCTTTCAATTATGAAGCCTCCTATTAGTTATTTATAATTAAGATTAGAACTTTGAACTAATTATACTTCTGTCCTTCCTTGATCTGTGGATGTTGGTTTTGTTCTGCCAGCACTTTAATGCCCGCTCTAAGGGTGCAAGTCTTTGATAACTGCTCTGGTAATATCTACTTGCTTAATAATGAAGATCATTTGTAGTTTGTTCAGAGTTCTATGCTTTAACATTTGACTGCTGTGTTGAAACACAGACTGACGTATTGACAGCTGTGCAGATCCTGCACGTGGAAAATTTTTGGAAATTGTTTCCATTATAAATAGTAGTGAAATTCAAGAGAAAAATATTAGATGTTAGACTTGGTCAATAATTTACTTGTGAATTTCTTAAGATACCTGTTCAAGAATCTTTAAGGATGCAGTGCAGGAAATAATCTTTCCAATGATGTTGGGAAGAGCAGCTACTGGGAGTTTTCATTGTTTTATCTCTGCCATACATAAAATGGTGTTTTAAGAAGTGTTTCTGTGTGTGGCTCATTAATTGCTCGCTCCTGACAGCCCATTAATGACTATGCTGATGATAGCCCAGCTTCCCTCCCGCAGCGCAGGGCACAGGGTGGCTGGGGGGCCGTGCCCGGCACTGTGGCTGTGCTGTGGTGCCAGCACAGCTCTGCCCTGCCCTGAGCTCGGTGGGGGCTGTGGCTGCTGTGCCCTGGGGTCCGTGCCCGTGGCCATCAGCTCTGAGGTGGGGGCTGTGGCTGCTGTGCCCTGGGGTCCGTGCTCGTGGCCATCAGCTGTGAGGGGAGCAGGCCCTGGGCCCTGCAGCAGCTCCCGCCATGGCAGCTGCGGCCGTGCCAGGCCCCACGCCGTGCCCTGTGGGGACAGCAGCAGAGGGAACCCTCCCTGCCAGCTCCCTGCAGAGCTCTGCTCCCGAGGACACTGACACACAGGAGTTCCTGCTGTGCCACTGCTCCACGTGTGGAATTCCCACCCGCAGCAGCTTTTTCTGCTGCAGGATAACCAAGTGACTGGCGCCTCTTCTCTGCTTGCTCGTGTTTGGTTATCTCTGTGTTGAGATACTTGATTCCTCAGTCTTGGTGCCTGCTTTGTTCCCTGAATATTTATCTTCTGCTCCTCTCTTTTCCATCGATCCATATTTGTATTTGATAAGTTTCCAGTTGTTCCTGTTTTAAGTTAGTACAATAACAGTGCCAATCTTAGTGTTCAGGTATACATTGCTCTTTTTCCTTCTGGGCACATTGGCATCATCTTCAGTATTCTGGTCTTTTTGTTTCTTGGCACTTCTGTTTTTCTTATGTGTTTCAAGCTTGTGCCCCTTTTCAGCTTTGAGATTTGAGGTTTTCTATGGTTTCTGGACTTGCCTTAAAGACACAATGTGATTTTTGACCCTCCGAGAGGAAAGAAAAAACCAAACCAGTTTCTTAGTGACTTCAAGGAAAACCTTTCTGCTCCTAGGCTTTGTTGATAGGCAAACACGTTTTTTGGGTCATCTTCCTGAAACTTTCCGTGCAGAGTTTGCAGTTCTAGTTCCAGTATTCCATATTTCTGACAATAGCTGTGTTGCAGAGCAAAGATGGAATTGGGGGTAAAGCTGCTACCCTGGTTATTCATTTATATGTCTGACATGCTCACATGGGATAAATGTTTTCAAAAGCACTGGAGCAACAAAAGAAAAAAAGGCTTTTCTGAAATACACTTCCCAGCTCCTGTTAAAATCAAGTGTTGTACATTGACCTACATTATTTCCAATGTAGAAAAAAGCCTTTGGAGGGGATAGAATGATTCAGAAATCACTTTCTGGACTGGCCAGAATGATTGCTCCTAGAAAGACTAGTTTTATTTTAGTTCTTTGGACATAAGAAAATCATTCTTAGGGTTGTAGGAGCAAGTGGTTCCAAGAGTGTTTCCCATGAAGTTACACAGCTGTACCTGTGATGAGGGTGAGTTTTGGCCCAGAAGTGGCACAGTCTGTCTGCAGGGGCCCATCCATTGCTGTGGAGTAGCCTCAGGGGCATGCTAAGTAATAAAATGCTGCTTCTTCATTTTGTTCTGGAAGGTCTAATGCCAATGAGCTGAAGAATTCAGATATCATGTGGAAGGAAAGAGCGAGCTGATTTAACAAAATGTTTTGTCTAGGTTTGCTAATGACTGTCCCTGGATCATTCTTACATCTTTTGTGGTGTTATTCTTTCACAGAGGCATAATTTGGGAGTTTTTGTTTGAGTTTTAATCTCTGAAGAGATTTAGTAATTTTTGTAAATACAGCAAAGAGTAGTTAATTGAAAACTGCAGATGCAGTAACTTGCAAATTTGCCTACCAACCCCCAGTTTTCTAATTTAAGTGAGGTCTCTTGCTCTGCTGTTATTCTGCTGTGCTTAATAGTAATCACTTGTTGAGAAAAGACTTTTCTGTAGTGCTAATTCAGCACAGTGGAGAAAGGTAACCGAGGAGCTCATGTTTGTGTAGGAACTACAGTCTGCAGATACAATGTGGCTTGGAAAAGGATAAGAAAATGTGGCAAGCATTACACAGGGAAAGGAAAAAGATGGCAGATAAAGGAAAGAGATGGGAAAAAATGAAAAATGATCTTGAGATTGTGGATTTCTTTTACAAACAATATCTGTGGTTCATGAAAAAGCACATGATAACTGGCAGAAGGCCAGATCTGAGACAGTGAAAAAGCAGCCTATCTCAGATGTGAACAATTCATGATGATTCTTCAGACAATTTTACTGTCTTAAGAGTCCCTCAGTAAAGAAAATTTCATTATGCTTACAGATTCCATTTTCTGTGGGATGTACTGTAGGTTTTCATATCCAAAATATGTCAGAAAATAAACTCTTATCTGAAATTGTTGAATCACATGTACTCAAGAGAAAATTGGATTTTATACTTGAATTTGTGGTGAAGAAGTGTAAGCAATACTAAAGAACAAAGAATCTGTTTAAACTTTTGACACTGTTACTGTGAAAATAATGTTTGGGACTTGCTTACAATTGGGTAGGTATCTTTGTTTTATTATTTTATGTCACTAAACGTACATTTACTAAATATTACCTTAAAATGATCATGTAAAGGAATTTCTAGACATTCTAAAACCCTACACATAGTAAACATTAGAAGTTTATATTCAGAATAATTCCATCCTTATCACTCTTATATATCTCCTCTCCTTTTCTTCCACTTATAGTAGTGTATAACAGAGTATTCTATTGACAGTAACATTAATAGATTTTATTTAAACTGATTGGGGTACGACTCATCAATTTACAGCTTTGGATATTCTGTTTTCTTTAAGCTTCTGAGAAGTTGTGTATTTCCAAAATGCCCTGAAGTGGAATTAAATATACAAATAATAATTGGAAACATAACAAACCCTGGGTTGGAATAAATAAATGTCATTACATTAAATTAATAAACAGATATTATTAAATAAGTCTACATAAGTTTTAGAGATGCTGAAGCTTGTTATCCTTATTTATGTAAATATCAAATTCACAGAAATCTTTGTTAAAATAAAAAAAACCCACTGTATGGAAATTGCCTGATTGTGTGGTGAGGAAATGTGTTCCTTCTGGACACAAATTTTGTAAAATTAGGTAGAATGAAAGACATGGTACTCGTGTATATATTTGTTTTACATATTTTAAAGATTTGGAGACCTTTTGTTAATTTTGTTCATATGATATTAAAATAATTTAGCAGTAGACTATGTTTTAGAACAAAGCCAGACAGTAATGAGCAAAGTGCAGATCAGTTATAATAAAGAAATAAACTTCTGTTGCAAGATGTTTCTGAAGTTCTGTTCATGCAAGTTTAATGTCCTGATGATAAGTACAGATTAACTGCCTTCAGTGTTATAGGAAAACATTAATCTTTGATAAAAATAGCTTGCATTCAGCTGGCCAACCCCATTGAACTGGCCTGGGTCCTTGAGCTGTTCCTATGTGCTCTATGTAGAGGTCACCAGCTTGGACAGAAGGGGCAGAAATATTTTGTGTTAATATATTTTTGTAAAATGGTCATCAGCAATAATGGATGTCAGCCATCCGCTAGAATAAAAGAAGACAGAAAACAATGCTATCATAAAGAGTTCAACATATATAGATTACTTGAAATTCACATTTTAGCATTGATTTTATTTTACTTTTGACAATTTGATTTGAGTAGCTGCAGGTAACTCCTGCTGGCAACACATTGAGCAAAAGTGTCCTGAAATACCTGCAAGTATTTCTGAAAATACTGGAAAGCAATAAATTTATGAATGCTCTTATTGTTGTTTCTGTGGTTTAGAAAATAGAGTTTGACAGCTATAGAAGATGCTGAGTTGTGATTCATATGTGTTGATTTGCAATAGCATCTAGAAAATGCACGCTGTCACTGTGAATCTTAATTGGCTGGGAAAACAGAAGTTATTTACCAAGATTTAGAATAGTTTAAGTTCCAAGGTTTTCACTATTTCCTCTCCTTCATTGTTTATATAAAAGCCTTTTTCTCTAGAACATCTTGCAGGTGTCATTCTAACGTCTTTAGGTTGACATAGAATCAACCTATTTAGGAACTTGATCATAGGAAACTGGCTCACACAGCTGTTGCATATGGAAGGTTTCCCAAGGTTACTGGTGATCAGAATGCAGAATTCTTGGTGTTACCATAAGAGAGTTTAATTTACCTGAAGAACATTTTGTTGTTAATTAAATTTTTTTATGGCTGTTTAGTTTCTGCTACTTTCCACTAACCTAATGTTTTTACCTGGCACCTTCCCAAATTGCTCTTATTTTTAACAGACTTCTTAATGCTTGAATGGGTTTAGCCTCTATTCATCTTCATCCAGAAAGACTTAGCTGGAGTGAATTTCAATCAAAATCTTAAAGCTTTAACCTTCTGATTAGTAACCTTTTTTCAGAATTCCGATGAAATGTCATTTATTTATATTTCCTCACAAGACAAATTTGTACAGGGAAAGTAATAAATTGCTTGTATTTGTTTTAGTACTTATCCTTGCATTTCAAAGTTAAAGGTTTTGTAACCTGAGCCCTAGCAAATCACAAACTTAATTTTTTCACGTACTTGTAATTCTTGGAATTGGGTCTAATGTAACTTCAAACAAGTTAGTTGTTCTACAAGCTTTATAAAAGGCAGTTCTGCAGTGTCTTCAGAAAATGTTTGACTTCCTTACTTGCACATGGCACTTTTGCTTTCAGTAGCCAAGTAATTAAAATCCCACTGTGATGAGTAATTTGGCTTTTATTTGGAGCTTTTCTGTCTCTGCAAACATATTTCTGACGAGTTTCTATCACTGTCCTGGAGGTCTGTAGCAATTTATAAAGCATATCACCTCACTTAAGACTGTTATTCTGGACAGCTAGCAAAATGACCTGATCCATGTAAACTCAGACTTTATACTGTGGGTTTTACCAGTATAAATACTTTCTATTATTGACTTTCCCCTTTACCTTCTGTGTTATCCCTTGGTAAATTTTGTATTCAGATCTTTCAAATTACCACTAGACTTTGCCTTTCAGTCATGTCCCTTCTATACCAGCAATGACCTGCATGCAGGGTTGGGTCCATGTTAGCTGGTTGAAGAGCAGTTCAGGAGATATTTTTCTGCAGATAAACAATTATGATTTTCTTATTTTTCTGGAATTTGATTCTGCTTTCTGTCAATACATCTCTGAATTTGATTTTTATAGTCATTACTTGCATTATTTGTTTTCAAATAATGGATTTAAATGTACATTCAGAACTGGCAGAATAATAGATTTCCATATTTTCTGGTTTGAGTATTCTGATATTTGACTCATGCTTGAGATTTGAACTTCCAGAATCACCTAAACACATTTCACAGTGCAGTCAAAGATAGCACAAGGGCAACATGTTTTGGTGTATTTTAAACCTGCATATGTTCTTGAAGTGCTTTGCCACTTGAAACATTAGCCATCTGCCAGTAACCCCTCTGTGGAGGGAAGATTTCTGCAAAGGTTGTAGTGAAGTGGCATTAGTGTCATTGTGTGACCTCAGATCTCTTTGATCCTTTTTAATCTGGTTTCAGAGTTACTTGAGAGATTTCACTGGACTCGTCGCCTGATCTCCTCCTGCTAATAGTTAAAAGTCCATGCAGATTCTTTTAAATCTGACCAAGATTTTATTACAGTACAGGCTTTCTTAATTTGTCAGTGAACCATTGCTGGAATTACATCCTTGCTCTTGGGGTTTGTGTTCTTTGCAGTTTCTGATGGATAGTTATAATCTACAGGAGGGACCTCTAGAACAGGATTCCACAGTATTTGTTTTTAGGCTCTCTCTGTTCACCATTGGTGGGCAGGTGGTCCTGACAAAGCCTGTGAAGCAATTGGAACCATAGAATAGCAAAATGGGGAGAACAGAAGGCTTCTGCCTGTTCTTCATCTGTACCCTGCCAGACCTGATTTTTTTCTCCTGGTCTGTTGCAGAATTTGTATGACAAAACTTAAATCTTTCTAGTTCCTTTTTTTTTTTTTTTAATGATATTATTTTTTCCACGTTTTTCATGCCATAATTCTGGTGTAAGACTTAAGGACATCTAAGGGACATGTGGTATTGAAAGTCATTTGTCCAGCACCTAATATTCTGAAGATGCCCCTAAAATCCTGCCGTCAATTGTGACCAACAAAATCCTACTATGTCTGGAACTCACAGAACAATTGTGGCTTCCCCCTCTTTTCTTAATTCCCTTAATATAAGTTTTGTTATTCTGTGAGTAAATCTCTGTAGTATGCTCTGTGTGAGTTACTCACCTTCGTTTATTTTTCTACTATAATATTAAGAGCTTTTTTACAATGTAAGATATTCCAGGGAATTTTAAGCCTGAAAAGTGATTATCAGTACACACGGAGCAAATACTTATTAAAAAAAAATATATATATAATTGAGTGGAAAGGACAGTTGGCTCTTTTATTTGGAAGGGTTCTCGAATTTGAATATGCTTTTCTGACTTGCTTTAGGATACACTAACCATGCATTGTGTAACTAAATACATGATGTATGTGTGTGTATAGATACAAGCTGAAGTTACTGCAATTTATTAAAACATTATTCGTCCCTACATCTGATTCAAAGTTCCCTTGCAAGAATATCCTTTTCCTTATGTCTATTTTTGGCATGGTATTGCTTCAATAAATCATTGTCTCTCCTGCTAATGAGAAGTCTGTTCTTGTAAAATACATTCTCTGAATTATTGAAACTCAATAAACCCATACTCTGTTTAAGAGGTTGTTATATTTAACATACATGTTAACAGTTAGGAAAAATAGGTCAGTTTGGGTTTTTTCCTTTTTTACTAGGCTAGCCAACTCCTGATCTTTAGAAAAATCTCTTCTGCTTCTCAAGCCAGCTTCACTCAGAAAGCAGATAAGCACTGTCAGTTTCAGAAAATATTTTTGAAATTCACTGCCTTAATCATTTACAGTATGATTTTAGCTGAAGCATCTCTTTTCATAGAATGTTAATGGGCAAAATTAGATTTTATTATGTAAGAAGTCTGTATTTTTATAATATTAATAGAAATGAGAAAGGAATATAGATCTCTCAATGGCTTACTTTAACGTGCTTTAGTTGTTAAAATTATATGTGTATCAGGATGTTTACTTATCAAACCCATTTATTTCTTTTAGGGTTTTTAGGAAACACTTGCGAGGACAAAATAGACCCTTGTGCGTCATCTCCCTGTCAGAACAATGGAAGCTGTTATGCAGACAGACTGGCCTTCTCCTGCAGCTGTAGTCCTGGATTTACAGGACCTACATGTGCTCAGCTCATTGACTTCTGTGCTCTGAATCCGTGTGCACACGGCATTTGTCGCAGCGTTGGAACCAGCTACAGATGCCTCTGTATCCCTGGTTTGTACCAACAGTTACATGCTCTGTCAATCTTCTAATATTCTATATGTAGGTTCCATATATAGCTTAAAATGACTTCCTTTTCTTCTTTTCAGTCTCTAAACCAGATTGAGCAGATGTTCTATCTGTTTAGAGTAATGATAGGAATCTACACATTGCACTTGGAAAACCAAAAACTGCAGTGTGAGCACTGAAATACCCACTGAGATCCATATGGTTTGAGTGAGCTCTACAGCTGTATTACAAAACTGTAGTCTGCAGGATAAATCTTTTTAAGGCGAGGCATCAGCACTGTTGGAATTACAACATTTGGTGAAGAGAATGGAAAATGTGACAATGATCATTAGGGAAAAACAGACAAGGTGACTGAACAAAGGCAGAGAAGGAAAAATATTGATTACTTCAAAGGGGTTAGTTCTGCCATCCATGTTTACATAAATTGTGTCTCTAGAGAAGATCCAGCAGGGCTGCTCAGGTGAGTTGAGTGAGGAGACTCAGGTGGGAACTGTTGGACAGCACAGCCTGACAGTCATGGGCTGTGCATAGCAACTGGTTTCGCTCCAGATTTTTTTCATCCTTGGACAAATATAACAGAATATTGGGGTGCTTATAGCTCCCTTTATCCATTTTAGCAATGATACTTGGTAGGTGAAGTAACAGCTAAAATGTCTGATAACCAGTGCTACACATCCACTGCTGCTTAAGCACTTAGATTGAGCACCAATCTTTGTTTTCACTAGAATAATTTTGGCACTTTTTTTTCAGTCTGCTCCTATAAAGCTATAAATTTAAAAACTGAAGAAATTAAGGCTAAAATAAATACAAGGGATAAACTAAGGAGCGATATTTGATATTTAGTAGCTCTGCTGTGACATTCATGTTGCTCTACATTCCTTTCAGAGGAATATATTTTCTCTGCTGCTTTTCCTTGTTCTGTGAGAAACCAGTCCTAATTAATCTCTTCCATCTCAGTTGGCAGAATGTGCATCTATCCTACCAATCTACTTCTGGGTATTAGTGAATATGGGGATTCGTAATGAAATCTACTAATTCAGCATTTTTTGGTGGTGTCAGAATTTATCTACTGTTTACAGACATGAAAGGGACCATCAGAAATTTTTCAGGAGGTACTCACAAATTACCAGAAACTATGGAAATTTGTTGTTGCAGTTGACAGATTTATAGTTAATTACATACTCTTTTTAAAAGGAGAAAAATATGAAAGTGAAATGCAGACAGCACCATAGTAATGTTACCTTATAATGCATTTGTTGACAGCACTTGTCATTAATAGTAGGAAAAACCAGACATTTCTCTTTCCAAGAAATCTAGGGAAGTTTTAATCTTTGGCATATTCTTTGCCTGTAGTTCAAACAAACAAAAGTTAGTCAAATATTTTTGATAAAATAAAAGGTTTTTTCAGAATTTTGTCACCTAAACTTTATTAGAATTCCAAGATTTGTTTTTTTTCAAAATTATTCTCTCTTTCTCAGGACTTAAAGTAATCTTAGATCTCTCATGTTATAGAAACTTATTTTTATTTGAACAGTATTTATGCTTTTAAAAGTTAGAGATGAGAAGCTTTAGAGGTTGCATCCAGGACCATATGTGGTACTTATTTAGTTAAACTCTTCTGTATTGCTCCATGTATGACATTAAAAAAAGCAATTTATTTTTTCCAAACATTTTGTTGGCTGCTGTAAACTTCACTTTTAAACATAACATTACTTGATTCAATAGAGGTGGATCTAAAGACCAAATTGAGTGAGTTAATCATTAATCTGTCAATAGTTTAAAAACTTGCACCTAAGTGGCAGCCAGATAGGGATAGCCAGAATGTTTCCTTCTTTTATACCTTTTATGCCTTTTCATGGTTATGAACATATCATTTTGGGCTTTTATTAAGTTATAGCAGCAGAATTTGAAACTATTATCTTCAGATATTTTCCCCATGAGTTAAAAGGATAATAGATAAATAGCAGTCAGCTTCTGTGTATATCAGCAGGTAGAAGGCATTGTGACATACACTTGGCTTAGGAAATTATTGAGTGTAAGGCAGATTAGAGCAAATAAACTTGAGGATTCCTAGGCTGCAATTCCTAAAAAACCTCCAAGCTAAAGTAATGACTACAAATCATAGCCTAATATATTTTTGGTATCTCTATCAAAAAGCAGTTTACTGGAGTGGGTGAGTAATGTAGTTATGTCGCTGGGATATTAACAAGCTGGATACGTTACTTGCAAAGTGAGTGGATAAAATTAGTGTACAGTTTAGTAGCATTATCAAGGGTTAATAATGAAGATATTACCAGGAAAGAAATGGTCTCTGCCTTGTGACCTTGAGCCTTTCTGACTTGCAGGCTCTCAGCATCAGTGTGCCAGCTCCTAGAGCAGTGACTTCTTTGTACAGGAGGCTTTCAGACATATCCCTGAATTCCTACACATTACTTGGGGTTTTTTTGTATTTTAATGGAAAAGTTGTTAAATGACATTTTAAAATTCTCTTCTGTATTGATTATCTGACATGTCTGAAAAACAGTTTTAAAAACTTTGGAATCTGTCACTTAAGTTTTGTGTTCAGCTCTAGGAGGTCATGGTATTTTTTTTAAAGTATTTTGCAGAGGATATCATTTTCTAATGCAGAAACAAAGTGCCTAAGAGTTTTGCTTATATGTGTGACCTATTCCTCCTTTATGCACTGTTTTACAGTGTCAGTTGAATTTTGGATTTTCATCTGTGTTACTTCTGCCTCAAAAATTAAACGAGAGGAATTTTAAATTGTTCCAATTAGTCCAAGGTCTGTGCAAGTCTCCTTGCTTGGTAGGCAGTTTGGCTTCCTTGTTTTTTTGGCCAGTGTACAGATTTGAAGAATGATAAATGATAGTGGTTATACTTGCATAGCTGCACAATTTGCAGAACATGAGCAACCAGACATTTGCTACTAATTTTTTTGTGTGTGTTGGCTTTCATCTAATAGCTTGTAGAGGAAAGCTAATTTGTATAAACTAACTTGGAAAGCAGTCTAACACTTTTGAATGTTCCTATTTCCAGAATGGAAGGAAAAGTGTGTAAATTATTTCCAAGTTGAACATACCTCAAATGTCTGCTGAGGGGCTCTGTGGAATTCCCAGGCATATGCAACCATACCTGTTTTGTACTATGTGTGTGATTTTTCAGTTGCACATAAAACCTTACCTTAAATCTTTATTTATGTGCTTACACACCCTAATTATTAATATTTACCACATCATCCTTTACATGTAACAAAGAAATACTTAGTGTTTGGACATTAGATTCAGATTTGTGTCACGTTTTTCTTAGCTCATATTAACTAATTCTAATAAAAGTTCTAGCACTCATTTGTTGAATTTCTTATCTAGAGTCAGTTTGGTGAAACTAGTGGGACTCCTTTGTGTATGTTTGTAGAATGTTTATTTAGTCTCTGGATCCCAAAACAGTTTCTTCCTCCTCTAAACCTTTTTACCCTTTAAATGCAATTGTTTTAATACAGCTACCATTATAAATTTTAAATGCAAATATTTAATATAGTATTTTTAATTTTGTCTGGTCCAAAGTAGAGAAATGTAGATATTGCATGGCTGAATATCACAGAGTTTTGGATTTGGGTTTTTTAAAGATATAGATTTTGAAACTGAAAAGCACATGTACAGACGTTAACACCTGCCCTCTATATAAATATATATCATGGCATATATAGAACATTTGGGAAAAAAAGAAAAGAGGAATTTCAGAAAAAGTGCCTCAGGGTATAAAAAGTGTCTGTAACTTTAGAAGTAGTACTGTGGAGTATGTTCCTTTGATTTTACTGCTCATGCAGCTTAATAGATAGTTCTAGGAGCATAGGTTTATTTTAGTGCCTTAGCAGAGGCCAGAGCAACATTTGTCTGCAGCAGTTGCAATTTTTCTTTTCTCTGTCTTTTCCCTTCCCACATTTTGTAACTGGGGCAGGATATGTGAGCTCTGGAAGAAGTGACTTTAGGTTAATTCCAGTTCCTGACTGTCTCTGAGCCCGTTATTGCTTTGTTTCCTCATCTTGTTTCCACTTCCACATTAAGACAACCTTCCATGCAATCTGGCATGGCTGGTGAGCATGGCTTCCTACCTTCCTGCCATCTGGAGCATTCTTCTCTCTTTCTCTTATTTAATTGCTGTATAAACTCAGCCTTTAACTGAACATATTTATTTCCTGGCTGTATAACGTGCAGCTCTGTGTTAGTGAACAGCCATATATATATGAACTGCTGCTGCTCCCTGCAAAATAGAGCTGTTCTGCATTGTACCCCATTAGGCCTTCCCATAAAGATGGGATTTATATTCTGCTGCCTTGATTGGGTGAAATGTTAAGTATGGATAAGCCCAGGGAATCACTATTGAGGAGTTAGTGTCTAAAAAGGCTAAAAAGATTTCAGCTTTGTTCTTTATTGATTTCTAAATGGAGACTAAGTAAGCCCTTGCCTCTTTCTTTTGCTAACCTGATAGTGCAGATATTATTGAGAGATTACTCTGTTGTATCTTTTGCTCTTGAAGGCTTTGACAAAGCCCATGTCTTCTCCTCGTCAGCCCATGTGACACAGACTGTGGGCTCCCTTTCCCATTTTCTCCTGCAATTTTTAACAGCCATGTGCTTAGAAAGTGTGGTTCAGTATGTAACTGAAGGCCCTGCCAGAAAGTATCAGGAAAATAACCTGCTCTCTCTCTGGCACCCTTCCTGTTGCTTGAGAAAGAGGAAGAAGAACTTGAGGATCAAGAGAAGAATGGCAACAGATCTGTTTCTGCTTTTGTAAAGACCAGTAGCAGAGGGAAGGTCACATAGAGGGGAAAAGGGGGTTACATAGGGACATCTCTATTTTAGGGGTTTTTAAAGCTCCCTGTCCATTCCTCAGCCTCTGAAGAGAGTACATCAAAATTGAACCTTCATTTTCAGAGTCTGCTTGCATTCATGAAGATTCTGTTACTGAAGGCTTTTCTAATTTCACGTGACCCAGAAAAGTTGCACTTTTTTGAAGCCTCCTGTGATGCTTTTTTTAAATCCTGTTCAGGACACAATAGCTGGAGAAGTGTTGTTAGTGTAGGTATTTTTTCTTTCTTTCTGAATACGTCCACAGAAATGCTGCCCACCACAAAAGATGCAAAGAGCTGCATTTGACATTGGCTGTAAATATAAAAGCAGAAGAATCATAACACCACTAGGAAGAGAGAAAGCAACTACACTAGAATCCACTACTCTGAAGTTATTTATGGAAAATGCTCCTCTTTCAATCTAAATTCTTCAAAATGTAGAAATTATTTATGTAGTCTTTTTGAAGATACGTGTATGAATTCAGTGTACTACAGGGTTTATATATCAGTATAATTTAAAAGCAGTAATACAAGGAGAAATGCTCATTAAGAATGCCAAGGTACCTCTTATCTCCCTGAGAAGAAGCATGTCGTTCCCACAGCAGAACGTTCTCCATCCCAGCAGTTGCAGCAGAAGGAAGCTGCTGGCCCCAGGGTGAGGACGATGCGGGTGAATTGTGTGTGGGTGAGACCTGCCCTCTCGTGGAGAGAGGAAAGCTTTTCCCTGCCTGTGTGCAGGGGCTGGCAGCGTGGGCTGGCTGCAGCCTGAGGAGGTGATACCATAGTTCATATTGATTTTGGAAACTAGACAACTATTTAGTCACAAATTCCCTTCGTTCTTTTGGAAAGGAGAGAAGTGGAAAATATTTTTTCTGAGAATATGTAATTACATCAGTGTTTAACACTGGGAATTCCCATCTGTTTTTCTTTCTGGTGCTCCCATCTGATTTTGGTGGTTTGTATATTGGCTATAGATCTCACTACATAAGGATATTTTATATACTCATAAGCTAGATAAACTTCATTGTAGGCTAGCAAGAAAACCCATAACATTTAGCACATTTAATTCTCTATTGCCTGCCTGGCAGCTTTGGAGAAAGTAGTTCTGAAATGTTTCTTAATACCTTACTAGTTCAGCTATTTCCTATGAAAGGACAATTTTTTGAGAATCATAATGGATGATATTGTCTATATATCTTGAGTACTACTAACAGTTGTATTTTCATAAAATTTTGTTTTGAATTATCCATAATAGGGAGGGAGAGGGTAAATGCAAATAGTGTCTGAAGGCAGCATTTGCCTTATTTTCTATGATTCTATGAGAATTTTAGGGAAAATTTAGACTAGCATACTGAATAAAGATTGATTGCTCCTTACTGAGATGAGAATATGGCCCTCTCTTTGGTTATTTGCTCATGAGAGATATCCTCTTTTCATGTCTATGAGTTTTGCTACTAACTAGAGATTACTTTGACAAGTAAAATTGCACTACAGAATCTCCACTTTGTATTTTAGGCCTTTTTCCTGACATCTGTATTCATGCCCACTCCATATTTATTCACTGTGTGTTCAGTTATCTAATGGTTTTTTGTGTCATGAGGAACTTTTATTAGCACATGAACGCTGTTCCAATGCATGGTAATATATCATAGACTACACTACATCTGTAATTTCAGCTACTGTTAAGACTAATGATTGTGTGGCACACTAAGTAATGAAAAAGGGGCTATTTTCAAGTGGTTTAACTCTTTTCTTATCCCATAATACAAATGTCCCAGTGGCTGTTAACAGGCCATGTAGCTTTTCTCTACTTCTGCTTTCTGTGTTTACCTAATCAGCCCATAATATCTGCCTATGACTTGGGAATACTATAAAGATGGAAGGACCTTAATGCTTCTACAGTGCTTTGTACAGCCTTAATGCTAAAACATGTAATCATTCTAACTACTGTTATACAATTATCACCTCTCTGAACAGTGGCTTTGATGCAAGGATCCAAAGGAGCTGGGAGATAGTCAATATTCTTGTATTTCTTTTAACAATCAGAGTGTGGGTATTCACATTGCTGCTTGTGGCCTCTGCCACCAGCCTCCATCCTTACACCTCATTGTGGTTTATCACAGGAGCTGGGAATTCTCTCAAAACACCATGTTTCCAATATTTTCTTGATAATTTTCACCTGGGGAACTGGGAGGACACTGGGAAATCAGTGTCTTAACATATATCAGTCTGCAGAGTATATTTAAATGAGCAATCATCTGCCCATGGTCTATAGTTGCCTAATTGTTAATTTCTACTGCGAAGTGTTTCATAACTACTTTTGTTTACTCTTCATGTGATTTAGGTTACCATGGCCTTTACTGTGAGGAGGAATATAATGAATGCCTCTCTGCACCCTGCCAGAACGGAGCCACCTGCAGAGACCTTGTCAACAGCTACGAGTGTGTGTGCCTTGCTGAATATGAAGGTAGGCTGCAGTTTGCAATTGTTCTCTGCATTTTTGATGGTAGGTTCTGTTACAAACAGAGGGATGCTGTATCCTGAGCAGAGAAAAACTTCAGTACTGATCCTGATCACTTAATCTTTATACAAATTAATAGTTAAGATTTAGTTCCTCTGTGAGGAATGCATGTCCTGGTCTGGGCACAAATGGATTTTGTTAGAAAGTGATGAGATTTTTTAAAAAAATCACTGTTAAATAGACTTTTTCATCAGTTGTTGTTGGAGCCTTTACATAGAGAGCTTTCAAATTATTTTTTATTTTCTCCAGTGAAGTGAGCTAAAAACATAATAGATTAGTATTTGAAATAGATTAGTTACAAAGGAGTAGAAATAAAAGTTTTATCTTGATTGTTAATTTAGAAAACTGTAAAGCCTAGAGAGAGTAGTAGATCTGTGCTTTTCCATGTTAACTGCAGCTATTCTTAGATCTGTGTTCAAATAGAATCCATCTTTGGCATTTCTTAAATAATTTATAAAGTAGATGAGAAGAGTGTTTGGCTATACAAAATCTTTTCTCTCACAATAGTTTTCAGCTGTAAACAAATTAACACATATCAGTGGTCTGTGACAAGTCCTTCTGGGGAAGGCTGAAGTGATACTGTTTTAGTGTATTCTGTGTTGAATCGTGCTGTGAGAACACTTTGAATGTAATTTCATATGCTATTAGGATTACAAGTAAATAAATAAATATTCTACACAGAATGACTATGTTTTAAGGAACATTGCTCCAGCATTTTCTCATTAAGCATATCAATCCTTATCTCTGCTGATAACAAATGCTCACTTAACAGCTGCTAGAGGCTAAATATGTGTTTCATGCTGGTGATTGCACTGCTCTTTGACTATAGATACAGAATTCATCATTTCAGAGGCCTGGTGAGGAAATGACCCTCAGCTTTTCATGACAGTTTAAGCAGCACTTAACCATAACGTTCATCTTCTCTTCTCACCCGACCTGAGGGTGCAGCTGGAAGCTCTGTGTGCACAGCACATTGTACTGTAGATGAAAGAAGGGCACCTGGTCCTGTAAGCAGCTTTTGCTGCTCACTGAGCTCCCACCATTCCAGTATGTGAGGTGTTCAGTGACACCAGTGAACACACCCGAGGTGGCCAGCTCAAGGTATGATGTGGGCCATCAGAGGCCTCAGTCTTGGCACTACCAGCCCAGCCCTGCCCATCTGCAGTGCCCCAGGGCTGGCAGATGGACAAGAGCTCTCAGGGCTGGGCAGGGCTGGAGCCTGTGCCAGCAGGTACCTGTGGGCTGCTGCCTCTGCTGGTCCTCACCCATAGGGTCCTCAGCTAGAGCATTCTGCCTTTTTGCTGCTATCCTGCAAATGTCAGCAAAATGATTTTGGCAGGTCTGTAGCGAGTGTGTGTGTGTGTGTATACATATAAAATATATATAGATAAATAAATTTTATCTGAACAGTAGACCTCAAGAAAATAATGCACGTAGCAGAGGCATTGGAGTCTCTGTCCCTAGGTGGGAATATGCTGTGTTACATTTTGTCTGCCAGGTGCAGCTTGCACTGTCTTCTGCAAGGCAAACTTGCTGGATTCACAAGGCCTACACTGGGCATGAAAGAGTGAAGGCAGTGGCATGAAGTAGAGCCATCCAGTTATCTATTTTTAACTATACATTTGAATAAATTTTTATTACCTTAGTAATATTTCATATTTCTAGCAACAGGTAATGAGAGGCATCAGAATGTTTATGTATGCTATTTAATAAGTTATTACATAAAATTCTTAGTCAAGACAATTATTGTTGACAGGTTACTGAAGAATTTTAGGTAACTGATCTGTTTATGCTTCATTATATGTTTCTTCATAGACATTTAAGAGTTCTAAGCAGAAATTCCCCTGCCTCTCCTAGCCCACAGCCTGTAGGAAGAGCAGAGAGGAGGCACGAGTGTAAAAAGTTTAGCCAGCATGAACCACATGGCTTTAGTGTTATGACATCATGAGCCCAGGACAGGTTGGGACTCTGCACACTCATGCAGGTGAAGTTATCACATGTACTGATTCCATGCTGTCAGTATCAGTCATGTCAATGGCAATTACTGATTTTTCCTTTTCAGGAAGGCACTGTGAATTATACAAAGATCCTTGTGTTAACATCAACTGCCAGAACGGTGGTACTTGTGACAGTGAAGGTCTAAATGCTACATGTATTTGTGCACCTGGATATGCAGGCAAGTGATTTGTGTGTTACACAGAACATCTTCACTGTTCACTGTGTCTAGAGGAAGACAAATACCAAGACTGTGTCTTTTCGAGAAAGGAATTAATTTGGGTTTTGCTGTGTTGTGAGCAGTCTAGTGAGAATGAAAAATTTTTGATATTACTTACATCTGCTTGGAACTTTGTAGCAAAAAAAACCCTGTTGCTAAAGTGACAGCACAAAGCTGATAGCCATTTAGCATGGCTTATGACCTTACTACTTGAGACTAGATTGCATCTTAAAAATAGTATTTTGAAGATTTCCAGGTTACCCAATATACTAATTGGACACTGTTGAAACTGGAAAATGTTTTAACAGTGACCTTAGTTACTGTGTGCTCAAGAAACAGCTTATTCCATTATCTTAATATGCAATTGCTAAAAGCCCTAAAGTACTTGTTATGAATCAATTTACACTTTCAGAGTACTGGTAAGAAACTCATTTAATCTTTTGGCCGTGTACTTACACTGATGTGATTGGCATAATCCAAATATCTGTTGTCAAAATAGTTTACAATCTGATGTTCTGTGAGTCATGTAAGGTAATATCCAATGTGAGAGTAATAGGTAAACCCATTCATAGCTGGTTTATGGATCAAATTGTGCTTTTTGATCTGTTCTAATTAAAGGGCATTTTTTTGAAAAGAATTAGCTTTCCATTGTACAGTGTTGTTTTGTCAGGCACCAATTATCTACATTATTGTATAGCATATCAGAATATTCATGATCAACAGTTATACCACATTTTCTTAGGATGGAAATTATATCTAGAGAAATGAGACAGAGTCTGTGTGATGTTAGCTGAATCCCTTAGTCCTCAGGCTTTATTTTCACCTGGTTAAATAAGGATAATACTTCCTTCTTGTAATCCTTTTGATGTTCTGAGAATAAAGATGTATTGCACTATATAACGTGTTTTGCAGCAAGAGAAGTTAAATAACTGAAGATGTACTTGCTACATCAGGCACTTGACATACGTAATTTTAGTTTTGTTTTTGTTTTTTTTTTCCCTATGTAAGGTGAAGAATGTGAACTTGATGTAAATGACTGTGACAGCAACCCATGTCACCATGCTGGAACTTGCATAGATCAGCCTGGTGGTTACACCTGCCATTGTCCTCATGGATGGGTCGGTGCAAACTGTGAAATACGTAAGTTTTGTAGTTCTCTAAACATTTCTAAAAACTTTAAGTTATATTAAAGGATTTTTTATTTATCCCTAAATCCCTATCTGCACAAATACTCTGAATTATATGTAAATGAACAAAATCACAGTAAATTAATTTTATTTTTGGCCATTGCATTTCAAAAGTGGTTGTGAAAGTTAAAAACTTCTGTTTCTGGGCATCCTACTTTGAAATATGTTGGACTAGATTGTCAGGGATGCTGTCTGAGAGCTGGGCACTCCGTTTGCCTTTTAATTGTGCTCATACTTCACAGCCTCCCTGCACACTTTGGGTCAAGCGTGCTCCATAGCAGTATAAGCATGGTCCTAACAGGCTTGTAGTGACTTCTGAGCAACTGCAGCTCTAGTGATGTTTCAGCAAAACAACTTGGAACTTGCTTACCTAAGGAAAATGGTTCTTGTGTGTGCAGGCATTTATCAGCATTTTCAGGAATAATTTTCCCAGCCATAGGCTAATTTCCACCAGACTTGTTGGAATTTGTTAGAGAAATGTTTCACTGTAAGGACATGCTTATGGCACAGTGGAGAGTCCAGGAGAGGCAGAAAGTATGAAGCCCAACTGTGGAAGAGTGAAAATGGAAATTAGGCTCCATTAGTTCTGCTGTTCACAGACCTGCTTTGTAGTTCCCTGATGTTTTGTTCTTGAGCTAGAGATGTTGTCTTTGCTAGAGAATTCAGCTGTGTTTTTAACTGCTTCAATGCTCGAGTCCTATGGTCACAGATCCCTTCGAGTCATTATACAGATACACAGGTTTGTTAGCACAGTAAAGGTTGCAGGGATAGGTGATAGATTAAAAAAAACAAACACAAAGGATGGATTAGAAAATGTTTTCTATATCTCATTTACACAGGGAGAATGTGAACCTTCTATTTTCTATTTTTTTTTTACTTAAACTTGACTTAAAACATATAGACTGCTTTTTTCAAATTGATTCTACTCTTGATGTTAGTCCTTACTTTAAGCCAGTACATTCAGTTTCAGAGCTTTCTGGTATAAGCAAAGACTGCAGAAGACCATTGCCAGCTATCCCAGAGATGGTGACATCCCTGCCTTTTTCCTTGTCTCTGTGGATGTCTCACAGACTTCCCTGGGTGGTGCAGAGCCAGCAGACATTGGGAGCACAACACTGTGTGCTGTCTGTGTGCCAGATTGCTGATGCTGAAATATGCTCAGATGAGCTTTTCCTGACAAGGCTGATGTTGGTGACACCTGCAACATGCATGTCCAAGTTGATCAGCGAGGCAGTATAATTCTGCCTGCCTTTCCTATGAAGTAGTTGGCTGACAGGCAGATGGGTTTAGTTCTTGGAGAGAGCAACAATCATCCTGGAAACGCATTTCCTGGAGTCCCCTGATGAAGTAACAATTACATTTCTGTTATGTTGTGGAATGCCAAAGGGATACAAAGGCTTGCATGCTTTCTTAGCCTGCAGATGTGCTACAGGAATTCATTGGTGCATGTTCTGGAGTGCTCTGGCTGTCATGCTCTAGTCACTCAGAGTTTGGCTGCTTGCACCACAGTGAAGTGCATGCAAACAAATGGGAAAAGGAGAGAAGCAGAAGAGAGGGTGGAAGGAGCATCTCCTACTGTCCAGCTACTCAACTATTTCTTCTTTCTCCTGTTAGAGGGGAGGCAAGTTCTTCTATCTTGTGACTGCTATGACAGAAAGCAGGGAATTATCTGAATGTTAACTGGCATTAGTAACACTGCAAGGCTGATTCTCAACCAGAAATATCCAACCTTCCCTTTTTCATGGCAATTGTTTTCAGCTGAAGAGGTTGAAATTAATGAGTTTTTAATCCAACACGACAGTAGCTAATAGAGTGTATGTATAAAATAGCACCACTTATAGAGGAGATTTAAAAATACAGTGTAAAAAATTCTGGTTTGGACTGGTCTTGAATGAAAACAGGAAAAAATATTCTTATAGCCACAAGAAATACATTTTAAAGAATGAATATGGTTAAAATTTGAGGCTTGCCAGTCTTTTTTTCAATAAGTTTCATTTCAGCAAATGTCTGATGTTCCCTTGCTATTAAAGTCACTTTGCCACTGCATGAAAGCATGTGTTGTTTATGGGACACCATAACAGATAATGCTACCCCAAAGCAGATAACCATGGACATGCAGCCTCTCTAACCAGTTTGCCTTATGTGCAAAGCTGGGGAAGCTTTCCTAAAGAACTCAGATTTTTACCTGTATGTAAAGGATTATGCAAACAAAGAGGGATTGAGTTTTGAAGAAATCACTTTGCAGAAGGAATTTGAAAGTATTTTGATCTGCAGATTTTTCTTCTACAGGTCCATGTAGCCACGTGAAGATCTTTGTACTCAGTCTTTCCCTGAGCTGTGAATTAGCAAGCTGAAGGGAACTTAATTCTTGTCATATCTAGAAAGGCCATATCATGCTCTTTGATAAACAAGTGCAGCCCTTCTGAACTCACTGGAGTTGAGACAATGGTGCAGTGAATTTCTTTGAGCTCTGAAATATGAATCTATTAGCAAATGTGCTTCTGTTCGTCTTTCCAGTTCTCTTTGCTCTATTTATTATATTCTTTTAGCAGTTTATACATAATGGTTAATAATGTGATGGAGATTAAATTTAAACATACTGACTTTGTACTGGACCATCCCTCTAAATGATAGAAAAAGACACGAAGTCAGGCTTATCAAGAAACTGGTGTTTGGGTGCCATTTGAATAAATAGATCACATTTTAGCCTTTGATTTTCTGTTACTGGCCATGAAGGAGGCTCTTGGTACTTAATCTTTTTTTGTAGAACTACCCTATTTATAGTTCCCCACTTTTCACCAGCTGGCTTAGCTGCTTGAAGTGACTACCTTAACAGGATTTCAGGGTTATGTTCTTGTCAGACTGTTATTTTTAATTTCCAAGTGCTGTATATACAACAAACTAGACATGATATATGTTGCCTGGATGAATTGTGATATTTTTCAATATTATCTTAGGGTCCTTACCAGTATTAGCAATTCTGATTAAATAGAATTAAATCTGTCTTAATTATAAAGAGGATATTCTTCCTTTCAAAATGAAATACATTTGCCTAAAAAGTTAATAGAGCATTCATTGTAAAAATGCTTACAAATGTCTCATATGAATTCTCTAATGCCTGCTGGTTATTTGTTAATATCATTACCTTTGCCACTTCTGTAATTATTAATGTAGCTACTGAGGTATGCCAAACCATGTGGTTACTTGAAAACTGAAGAAACTATGAAGAATTTCTAGTACAGAGTGTAGTGTGCATTGAAATCTTATACTTAATTAATTTTATGAACATTAATATAAAAACTGAAAGTACAGTGATTTTGAGCTGTCATATGCTATTTCTAATATCTGGAGTATAAGCTGTTAATCTTTATATTTTGATATGGTGAGGAAAAAGGGAAGAAATTTTTCTCATCTTTGTCATCCAGAGATGGAAGACATGGAAACTAAATCAGAAGTGTCTTGCCATATATCTGCACACATTAGATCTGAATTCAGCCGAGTCTGACAGCCTGACAGAAACCACTGTGTGTGACAAATGTGCTGCAGAACAGACATAGAAGCCCATCCCAAACTGCACAGAGCACAGCTGTATTCCCTCCCTCATATCCTGACTGGGCAAACTGCAGAAATAGTGCTTTAGAAACATTAAATCACAGAATGATTCAGGCTGATCAAAACTTTACTGACCTCTGAAGAAAAGAGAAACAACCAGGCAGTCCTTAAACTCAGCTCACATTTGTGGACAAAGTCTGAGCACCCCCAAGCTGGGAGGTGCTCCAGGACAACCTTCACTCCTGTGACAAAGAGCAGCCATTTCTCCAAACTGCCCAGCTGAATCCCACATGTTACAGCTTTGGGCCTTCTCACCACCTCCCTCTAAAACAAATTTCTTTTTTTCCCTGTCCTTGTGCATTCCCTGTATTTCTACTATAGATCAAGATTTTATCCACAGATGCCACTAAACTGGAGATTTCAGCTCAGGTGCTTGAATTATCTGCCACCATCAGCATCCTTGAGAGGTGGCTTCTGAGAATATCTTAACCTCCCAAAGCATATGCTTGGGAGCCCTGTTCCCAGACTGTTTGTGATTGAGTAAAGGGAGTTTCTAAATCAGTGCAAGGCAGAAGTACATTTGAAAAGGAACAGGCACCTACTAGAAATAACTTCTGCAGAGTGCTACATTTCTGTAGTCAAGATGATTCAAGTCTGTTCCTGTTTTGAAATAATATGAGACCGTAGGCTTAGAAGACTACCAAAAATGAACCCTGGAGGGAAATACAGTTTAATTAGAAATATTCTGACCCATGCTAGAGAGAAACAGATCTGAGGACATAGGCAATTGATAGAAAATCTGTTTGGCATAAATATAGTTTGAGGATCAAGAATATTTACACAGAAGATCTGGAATACATAAATACAAGAAGCCTCTTCCAGACTGGATTTTCTTTAAGGTCTGCTTTGAGACTCTCAGGGAAATTATGCTTGGGAAAAGACTCCAGTGGGCTCCCTACTGTAGGACCTCATGAGGTGTCCTTTTTGTCCTTGAAATGCTGAAGTCTCTGCAGTCTGGTTGAGATAGGTGCAAGAAAGTGTGTTTCAAATTCAAAACCAAGTGTGTTTAGTACATGTTAAATAACACATTTTAATGAAAGCTTCACTATTAGAACAAACTGCACAAGAGGACTGGTTGGTTCCTAGAAGCTTTTGCATAAAACTTGCCTGCCTTTAGGACAGCCTGTAGTATAAAATAATATAATGCAAGAATAACTTGAGGATTTTCTGTTATTTGGGTTATACAGGAGATCAAACTACATAGGTGTTTCTATATGACCTTAAAAATCAGTAGAAAATCGTGGGTGAAGGTTCAACATAGCACTATTCAAATTTGTAGCAGGTTAGACCTGGTGGTGTATTGGTAACAGAGTTTGGGAAAGTTCAAATTACCTATCTCCATAACTTCAAAAGTCAGAAAGATTGAAAATGAAGATCATAAGGTAGTTCTATTCAGCAGGATGGATATAAATTATTAATTAATGAGAACCTTTTATTTCTTGGCAGATCTGCAGTGGAAGTCTGGTCACATGGCAGAGAGTCTCACAAATATGCCTCGTCACTCTCTCTACATCATCATCGGGGCCCTGTGCGTGGCCTTTGTCCTGATGCTGATCATCCTGATCGTGGGCATCTGCCGCATCAGCCGCATCGAGTACCAGGGCTCTGCCAGGCCAGCCTACGAGGAATTTTACAACTGTAGGAGCATTGACAGTGAATTCAGCAGTGCAATCGCTTCCATCCGACATGCCAGGTTTGTGCTGGGTTTGGTCATGTCCTAGGAGTCTGTTCTGATGTGTCACCTCAGCTCATGCACAGCACACCAAAGTGCCATTGGCAGAGTGAATGGGCTGCTCTGCTGGGGAAGCACCAGCACTGCTTACTGTTCTCATCTGAAATGTGACAATACAGCAAAACTCCTTGAAAACAGAGTTATTCTGACTTTATTTGGTGTAACTGGTGAAGTGGGACAGATGCAGAGTTCTTAGCCTGTCAGATCTTCTGTTAGGGATGTAAAAATTCTTTAGGTGCTACACATAAGTAATATGATGAGATAGGAAAGGCACATTGATTTTTGTGACTAATTTACCAGATTATTCAGTGAGAATCTCTTCACATCACTCATATTTGTTCTCCTATTTGCCTTTCTTACTTGCTTTCCTAGAGACAGTATATTTTTTTTCTTTGAAATTTAATGGAGCACTTGCAAGGCAGTGCATTAAGTATCAGAATAATACAAAAGTAGTAGTGGAAGGGATTTGAGAGCTCAAGTGTAAGCCATAGCACTAATATGGCATTAAATATACCTAGCTCCCTGCCAACAGCTGTGTTTAAAAACTTCCAAAGGAGTTCAGTAGATTTAGAAAGGGCTTTCCTAAAATCTAGCCTGTATTTTCTTTGCTATTAACCTGGCTGCTTCCTTCTTATGGCTCTTCAGGCTGTCATGGAGGATAATTTATCACTGTTCACTTGTACATCAGGTGCTGAGCCCTCTCCTCCTTCTCTTATATGATAAAAGCAAAAAAGCTAAACAACTTTTTTTCTTTCCTAGGTATAACTAACTCATTCTTTCAGTATCTCCTCCCAAATCATGTCAGCTTCTTTATTGTCTTCCTGAGACTCACTCCAGATTGTATTTCTCTTTTTTTTTTTTTTTTTTAAGAGGGTTCCCTTAAGCTGGAAGTAGTCCTCTGTCTGAAGATTTATGTGCACAAAATAAACTAAGTAATCACCTCCTGCATCTTATTTATGGCATTCCTGTTCATACATCTGAAAAAGAAACTTGCTTGGTTTTTTTTTTCTTTTTTTTTTTTTTTCCTTTTTCCCCCCCTTCTTTCTAGTGACAAATGACGTGATTTTGTGACCTGTTAGACCTTTTCCTCATCTCAAGATCCTCTGTGTTATTTTGCTTCTAGCCACTATGGTTTCTTCTTGTTTGACTTCTCTCTTAATAGGGTAGAACTTCGAATTTTGATATTTCTTTTTCCCATTTATTCAGTTTCTGAAGATCACTTCAAATTCCAACAGAGTATTCATGTGTGTTACCATTAAAATGCTCTTAAAACAACTGAGGGAGACATGTTCCTGTGCACTGACATGGAGAAATGTGTGCATATTGGTTGGTGATTGCTGGTAATTCATTTTCTGAATGCTCCAGTTCTGTTTCAGTGAAGATGAAATAGGTTAAATTTTACCACTGCTGAAGTCATCAAAATTATCTGAAGTGGGTGAGGCATTCCCCCAGGCTCAGTTAATCACATCACAGCTTGGGGTAGTATCCTTCAAAGTGTTCCAACTTCAAAAAAGTTCTTAGACTGGGATAGATTCATGATAATTTTTCAAATCCATATTATATAGTTAGAAATTATTGTCCATTGAGGGTTTCTCTATCTTGGAAAAGGTATTTCTACTTAATGCAAATGAAAATAAATGTTTTCATTCTACAAATTTTCAGTGCCTCCTAGCATATGATGCCTTATAAAAATCCAGGTAATTCATAGAGGTTTATTGTGGAGATCGTTGTGCATAATTTGGGTTCAGAAAGATATAAACCACTGTTTTGGTCATTTCAATCCAGGAAAAGGAGCAAAACTATAGTTATTTTTACATAATTTCTTAAACCTACATATATGAAGGTCTGAATTTTCAGAATTGCTGAATCTAAGAAATCTACTTTCAAGTAGCAGAAAGTTCAGCATTTTCTGAAAATAATTCCCTTTCACAGTTAAATACCAAAACTTGCTAGTAATTTTGGAAAATGGAAGCCAAGGGAAAAGTTAGTAGATTATTTTCTTTAAAGGGAAGGTTTCTAGTAAAGTCAGAGTGTGGATGCCTGTTGTCCATATTCAGTAAATTATTTTAAAATTACTTGTTCATGTTTCTCAGTATTTTTTTTCCTAGATAAATTTTTTTATAATTTGATCTTTACCAATCAAAGTACTTGCTGTAAGACAAAACCAATGTGCTTAAGGATCATTACTAATAAATGTCTACTTCTACTGAATGTTCCTAGGATTAGCAGATCAGAACTAGGTAGTTTTCCGAGCAGATGAAGCACAGTTGTCTTTAGCATTCATTATGCAGATAGTTAAGAAATATTCATTTTATGTAACATTTATACATTTTAAAGCTGGAAGAGAACAGTGTAATGAAACAATTGACCACTGGCTATAGCAGCCATAAGATATCATGGAAATGGAACCAAGATCTGTTATTGAAACAGAATTTTTCACTTTAGAAATGCATTCACACTGAGTTAATGAATTATCTGGTGACAGACTATGCTGCAGTTAGTTCTCTGTGTGCCCAGATATCAGTAGCCTTCATGAACCACTTACAGTGTAGTTTATTTAATTTTTATTTTCACATGCTGATCTGTCCTGTCTCTGTGTCATTTGAAGAGTCTGGTTCATCAGACTCTGAGTTCTCCTGTCACAGCAGGGTCAGCTTCTTTCCCCATTCCTGTGGAATTGCCTGTGTCAAACTGTGGTGCTCTAAGCTTTCTGAATCAGATGAGCATCAGCACACCCTCATTTCTTACCATTTCCTGGCAGCTGCCTTTTTGTAGAAATGTGATCACATGCTCAAATACTTTGGTCTCCATATCACCTGCCAATTACTTAATATATAATATCCTCTGCCAGGGTTAATTTTCTGGAAACTCTAAGATTATAGCTCAATTATTCTAAGCAAGGCACAGTACCACTTGCACACCTGATCTTTTCTCTGAATAACGCAGAGGAAATAAATCTTCTCATTCCCCTCCGGTGGAAACCAAAATAATCCCTTCTTCCTCTCAATATGCTTTATCCTTTTTTAAACTTCTGGCCTCTCTCT